ACAGTACTAAATCCAACCCCTAACCGTTATTTTACCTTGAAAAAATCAAAATGTACTCAAGGACGATTCCGCGAACCACGGGTTGACATACTGTACCGTGGTTAACAACAAAATCTTTTTTCAAGGCTTCCTCCTAATAATTTTTCCGAAATTCCAAAAGCAAAATATTAATGAGGTGGAGAAATGCACTTACCGAGGAAGGATCCTTCCCGGGGATCTCCAACGGGGCAGGGATAGAAGGTTTACCCAAGTAAACGTTTTCTTGGGGATCGTAACGTCCCAGAAGTTTCACCAATTTCGGCACGTTCACGTAGTTGTCGTCGTCAAAATGACAAAACCACCTGGAAAAGATCGATGCAAAAAATTAAAGAATGTCACAAATTGTCCAGAGCTTTCATGCTAACTTCCAAGTTCAATTATTAGCCCTTGCAATCGCGGGAAGAAAATATCAAGAGCAGATTATCTTCGCGGATTTCTTGATCGGACGGTTGGGAAGACGCCAAAATGACGAAATTTCAAAACAGTACTTGCGAAAAATAATTACAAACGCATTTGAAGAATAAGTACAGCACATGACATAAATCTGTTGTGCCGAAAAAATTTAACCGCACCAGAGTGATTTAAATTCGCCTTATTTGGATTTTTAATTATCATTTTTGAGAACCAAAATGAATAAAACAAAATAGAACAATAGATCATTCGACGCATTTCAAAACTGAGCGTGACAAAATGACTCGCGTCAAAATATCACAAACAAAACACCACTTGCGTAAAACAATTTTCAAGAAGCACGATAATTATGCAGTCGAGTTCGAAAGCTTTACTGAATACACCAATAAAATTAACACGTTTTCGTGATCTTTTTTATACAGTTGATCTCTGGCGCTGTTTTTTTCTTAAATTGTTTCCATTTCGCGTACTTTTTTATTCGATTTTGCAGACACGCGTTGTTTTGTGACACGCTCACCTTCCACAAAAATTAGCGCAACTTGGAAATAAAATAATGGAAAAACGCGAAGTAATCGCTATCAAAGTCGAAGATTGACCATGAGGATGATATTTTGTGCTCTCAATCCAAAAACTCTATTAACGGGAACACATGCGGTGAAGATTGCTCTTTATCCCAGTCGGACCTCAACTTGAACTTTATGCAGTACTTTAATACGGTTAATTTTTCAGCTCAGTAGAAGCTTTCTTCTCTCTCTCTTTTTTTTAAAAATCAGATCCAAATGGGTGGAATTTTGAATGTCTCTCAGGGCCTGTCATCAGTTCATTACGAAGAAATCGTGGCCAGGGGAATTTCATAACAGCAACCACAGCAGCGACTCGTATAACTCAAGAGTCCTCCTGCTGCGCGGAAAAGAACTGTCACTCCCTGGCGTGGGTGCAGCTTCTCATGCAGAGGGGCTCTGTGATGGATTTTTTTTTTTTCCTCACTGAGGTACAAAGCATCACCCCACTAAACCCACAAGTCAGTCACCTGTAAAATTTTCTATCTTTCTTTTAATCTAAGACCCGCATTAGCCAAATTTAAAGTTTTTTTTTCAAGTGACTGTGACGTTGCTACAGATCGGGTCTCTCGAAAATCCGACACCAAGTCTGAAAGTGGGAATGCGGTCATTTGAAAAAAAAAAAATCTCTTGAGACGGTCCAAAAAATAAATAATTTATTTAAGAAAAATAATTTCCTGAGTGCACGAGAAGTGAAACATTTCTTCGAGCGATTCTCAAGTTTAAAAAAATTCCTTGAATGCTCCAACCTGCTGTAATGAAGTTTGTAGCATCTGAGAAATTCGAAACAACAAAAATCGTTTTTTTTTCAGTAGATAATTTTTTCAGCTTCAAAGAAAGTCACTCGAATACTCAAAACTACAGCGAGCATGTATTACGGAGGCACCTGAAAAATTCGAAAAAAAAATCAAGAGAAATCAAAATTACTTGTGTTCTAGAATTGCCACCATCGAGAATACAGTACTGTATCACATCTATTAATGGAGGTGACCATTGAAGGTACATTATTTTTAATGTGCCTTCGAAAATTAGGGTCGATTCATAAGTTTTTCAAATCCTGCGCGATCCTATTAGTGTTGGATGAATGAAGATCATTTAGAAGTACGGTATTATTCACACTGTAAGAAGCAATTTTCGATCATTTTTCTCAACTGCTTCAATTTACGCTCGCCCAATTAAAAACAGAAAGACGTAAAGATAATGTAAATTACAATCAACTACAGTAAAATAATAAGGAAATAATAAGTTTCATGAATTTGAGCACCGTTCATATCACAACTTGAAACTCACAAACGAAAGTCAACAAAAATACGATTTTCCTGATCCGAAAACACGTGTACCAAAAAGCAAATTTCAATTTCATATCATTTCCCTCTTCGGAAAACTGTAACCGGAATTCACTGGTGAGGCATAATTATCAATATGAGGCAAGTCTTTAATCGATGAAAATCCTTCAGCAAATGAACACGATCTTCCATCAACCGTTATCCCGAAGTGACAGACAAATTCTGAAAACACAAAATACGGTATTGTCCAAAAATTCGTTCTGAAAATACGGTACTTGAGGCAGCATCTCGTGCATTTTCTCATATAAATGGATTAATCTCGCGATTTACTTCCAGCCCGGTCCACATAATCGCTCACAAATCTGATTGAATTCAAAGAATCATCCGAATTCAAAATGCGTTGCTTTTCGCGCAGATGAACCTGGATTTACGGGAATAAAAAATTATCCAACAATTCTATTTTCTCCCACAGGAAATAACAACGTTGACGGGTTTCTCTCTCTCTCTCTATTTTTTTTTCATGTACAGTACAAAAACTTTATAAGCCAGAGGAGCATGTTTCAAGCAGACTAAGGTGGTCAACCTCATCGCATTCCAGTTGTCAAGGGTCTACAAAAGCCAGGGGGGGGAGCCCCGGTCTTTCGTTCGTTCATAGCTCAGTTGGAACGACGGGCGCCCGCTGTAGTAGTCGTGGAAAACACAGCGTCCAGCAGCCGTTAGAGAGGCGTTATTTAATGTGTTTCGGCGGACTTAATTATTATTCTTTTTTAGTTCTTCTTTTTATGTTGTAAAGTATCTTCGGCGCTTTGTGTTTCCAACTTGGTGTTCGTTGGCTTCTCTAAATACGCAAAAAAATTCGTACCTTTAAGGATTCTCTGAAGCCCCGTTCTAATACAAGAGTTCATTAGCATTTAAAGATACTTCAAGTTTTTTTTTTGCATCACCGAAATGCGAGTGAGTGCGAACGTGTAAGAATTTCGATTTTTCGTTTTTTTTCCTGGCTCGAATCACGTATTTCTCAAATTTCAAAGCTCCCTTTTACCATAAAATCATTTGCATCTCGATCAGAAAGAACCTCGTGGGTAAAAATCGCACCAGTCGTCAGAAAATGACGAGAAAAATAATCCGTAATGCGTATATCAACATGTATTCATTTAAAATCAGATGAATGAGGCCGACAGAACTTATGAATGCGTTTTCAAAAATTTCAACAACCAAAATTTAAACATGTTTTGAATTAATGCACTGTAAAATCATTATGGAAACATTATCAATCACAGGCCACGAACCGCTATATTTTGAATAGCACATTTCCAAAAATTAAAATCTAGGACACAACAAAGCCTGAATACTTTTACCAAAAATGGTCCCAACTCAATCCCAAAATTGCCGGCACGCCTGGTATAAACAATAGAAGTAACAAAGGCCTCGCAAACATGACTGATTAAGAAAATGGCTTCCGTTGTTGATGCCCCCCCCCCCCCCCCCCCCC